TCACACCACTTAATGTCAGGATTCGACTCAAAGGCCAAGGCGGAAGTGCTAGCCAAGATCTTTGTTGCCAACTCCACCATGGTCGTCCCCAACAACGCTCAAGTGCCGTCAATTCAAAGAGTTCCCTAAACTATGCGAGAGGTAACATTCAGGCATAGGACCGTAAGACGAGTGCTCTTGTCGCTCGACATCAACAAATCTTCTGGTCCAGACTTGATACCTGCCATTCTACTGAAGAGGTGTGCAGCCGAGTTTGCTCCAGTTCTTTCGCGTCTCTTCCACATATCTTATGAATCCGGCACCTTCCCAGAAAACTGGAAATTTGCTCATGTCCAACCCATCCAAAAAAAAAAGGATCTAAGACCGACCCTTGCAACTACACGCCTATAGCTCTGCTTTCTGTTATAGGTAAGGTGATGGAGAGGTGCATAAATCGCGAGCTTCTGGACTACCTTGAAAGTCACAGCTTGATTAGCGACAGACAGTATGGTTTCCGGCACCAACGATCCACAGGGGACCTCGGAGTAAACTCATCCAGTCTTATGGTGAGGCTCATGTAGTTGCTCTTGACATCATGAAAGCGTTCGATCAGCTGTGGCACGCTGCCCTCTTAAGCATCCTATGGCCTTCCAAAAAACTTTGCAGATGGATGGCTGAAATTATCTCTGGCCGCAAGATATCCGTCGTAATTGACGGGTTCTCCTCTTCATCCCACAACGTCAACGCGGGTGTTCCCCAGGGATCGGTATTGGCTCCGACACTGCTTCACTTACATTTCAACGACCTCCTTTCCTGCACGACCAACCCAATCTGAGCTGGAAAGAAGAAGACTAGCGACGGCTTCCTCTCTGACAAGAGACCTGAAGGCTATCACTGCTTGGGGACGCAACAATCTTGTACAGTTCAATGCTTCCAAAACACAGTACTGTAGTATGACGAACAAAAAGCGTCCTAGCGCTCATCTGGTTTCGATAGATGGCCGAATTCTGCCAAAGAGCCATTCCTTTCGGTTGGTCGGAGCCCAGATCACCGAGGACCTGATTTGGCACGAACACATCTCGTCAATGGCAGCAGCTGCTGGGAAAAAGCTAGGATATTTGTTTAGGGCTAAGAAGTACTTTTCTCCGCACGACCTTCTCACTCTATACAAGGCCCAGATAAGGCCTAGCCTCGAGTATTGCTCACACGTTTTGGGGTGCTGCCGCCCCGACTTCATTGTCCATGCTCGATGCTGTCCAGAGGAGGGCGGTCCGATTGATCGATGACTCTACTCTAACAGACAGTCTCGCACCGGCGGCCCGTCGGCGATGTAGCTCTTTTCTACCGCCACACCAACGGGCTTTGCTCCTCAGAGCTCTCTTCCATGATGCCGCCGCGCCCTGTGCCAGCCATACTGACCCGCCTGACTTTGGCGTCCCATCCTAACAGTGTCGAACTTCGTACATCCAGAACCAGCCGATACGACCGCTCCTTTGTCCCGAGGGTGTCGAGATTGTGGAACAATCTACAAGAGGAGGCTTTTCCCAGTTCTACTAACCTTAGGCAGTTCAAAAATCGTATTAACAAATTTTCTTTGGGATCATCATAGCAACCGCGGTGTTCCGGCATTTAGGCTTGTGCCTGCGCGGCTGCTTCGATATAAAAAAACTAGGAAAGCTACTGTTTAGAGTGTGTTACGGAAGCCGTGAGTTGATAAAAATGCGTTAGAGGTGAAACAAAATAGCGAAAGCCCTAATGGAAATAGACACAGGTTCTTAAAAAAACATTAGCAGTTTATTTAGGACGGTTGCCTTTTGAGGCTTTTATGTAGATACAAACGTATCTAAATAGAACAGCATGGTAGTGCTTGGTGGAGAATTTTGATGTATAGGTCACAAGACTAAAAAAATGATAAAAGCGTGATTGTCACGAATGGCTTCTTCTTTGCGCAGTAAAATTAAACGCTTCTCGTCTTTTCACTTTTCATTCGTCTAAAACTCACAAAACTTGCTTCACCTCTTGTTACATCTCCACACTCATTTATATTTACTAGTAACTTTTTATAAGACTCAAGAATATGAACTTTGCGAATCATATAATACCAACGCACAAGAATTTATTCTTCTTTGGGTAAATTCAGTTTATTTCCGTTTACCTATGCTATGATAGTTTTAATTATGTTTGTATGATACGTGCATTAACTTATTATTATTTATTATATCGAAAAATCTAGATGTAGATAAAACTGACAAGTGTCTGATAGCATACTCAACCTAGAATTTGATAGCCCATGACACTTAACTCAAAAATACCAAAACTGATACCTAGGCCTCTGTGACGTACGGCACATAGTCCAGTATCTCCTCATCTGCTTGATAAAATATTTGAATTCTAATTTTTTGCATATTACTATTCAAAAACGATCACTGTTAACGTTTATGCATGTTGCCAGTTCCAAAATTGCGTCAAAACGTTTTTATACAAATTATCTTAAACAAAGTCTAAAAAATGTTTATTTTCGCCCCTCAGGGGCATTGCGTATCTTTAAATGTGACACTAAAGCCCTATTCGTACGGCTGAGAAGATTCGTAATCACTACACGCAAAACCGAGAGAATATCACACACTTTGAGAACATTGTCCGAGAATACTCTCTAGGTAAGTGGATCTCAAAACACCGCTTATATAAATTCTTTTACAGTCCACTAGCCCACCACATTAGATGAGCCCTTTACAGCACAGATTTCACAACCTCTAGGCTGGGAGCAAAAACAGCTGCCCTTGAAAAACTGTTCAACGCGAAATTGCAGAAACCCCCAACTTCGCTTGTTTACAAAGATATTGTGGGTGCATACATGTCTGCATTGAGATAGTCTTCTGTTCAGGTGAATTAATCTCCTTGCTCCAAAGCCCTTCCTACATATGAAGTAAGGAAGCAGGTCCCTTCTCGAAATTTCAATAAAAGACACTTTGTGTGATATGTCAATAAGGTATGATGGAACATTTCCGGAAACTTGTCCGCCTTTTAGATTTAGGACGCTCTAGAAAATACGACCTTTTTTATGGTTATCCAGAAGTGCCTTTTGACACTCCATTTCTTCAGCTCCAACTTACGGGCATGTGTTAACGCATGAATGATGTTACATAATTAGGTATTTAGCTATCATAAATACTATTTATTTAACAATTTTTGAACATTGTAGAACGTTGTAGGTGGCTATCTCTTTCTCCCTCTCTTACTTAAACCTGTACTCTCACATTTCCGAGTTTTAAACATCCCAGACGACCAGAACGTCTAAACGTACATATATGGCCATCACCTTTCTGATGTGATAGCAACTCATATAGCAAGAGATCATGTTGGTTAGTGTGGAGGAGATTGATGTCGGAGCAAGAAATGCAGTATTCAGAGAAATGCGATAGTTACTTTGTCAATGAACATTTTTATGTAACATCCTAATGCAACAATAAATTAATTTCAATGATTAGTTTTTTTATATCCTGCAAAGACATACTTCAACGTAGACTTTATCGCTCTTTACATTTCCGGTTTCAAAAATAGATACTTCAATTAAGAAGACTGTCTGGACCTCCAAATTACCTTGAAGGTCAATGTCACGTTCAAGATCACCAATAGATGAATTTTTCCAAATGTTACAGTTTTGTTGTATAACATGTTTACCTAAGATAAGTATTTTTAGAGATATGTTGTTGTATCCATACTTTCCTGTATACTTTTGTAGATAAAAGCCATGCCTATAATTTTCCTCAGGATTTAATTATTGAGTAACTGCACAAATTTTCTTTCCACATTGTGGCTCATACGTGAAGCTGACAGATTGGACAGATATTCACAGTTATACAGGGTAAAAATATCGAGAGAGTTCGTGAACGTGTAGTACAGCCTAGTGACAACGAATGTCGCCGACAATACAGGCAATATTGCAGCTTAATACCCAAAATAACGATTTTTACCGACAACTGATAATGAACGATGAAGCCCACTTCGATATCAACGGATTTGTTGATAAGCAGAATTGTCATATCTGAGCATTAGAGAACCCTCGTGTCATCCATCAACGACCACTACATCCTCGTCGAGTCACAGTTTGATGCTGTGTTTGGTATGGAGGAGTCATTGGACCTTACTTCTATGAAGTCCACCAAGGTCGCCGGATTTAACGGCTCCTGACTTTTTTCATGGGGATTTCTAAAAAATAGGGTTTATGCCAACAAACCAAATACTGTACAGCAGCTGAAAAATAATATAATGAAGCGATTGAAAATATTCCTCCCGAAACCTACCAAAAAGTGATGGAAAATGTAATCAGGAGTGCTCTGGCTGGCCCAGCTTGTTGAGGCGGACATTTATCTGATATCACCTTTCATACATAATTTCTGAGTTTCAATGAAAGATTAAGATGAAAAAATTGACGTATTTTAATTCATTTCACAAATATCCAAGATTCAAACCAGGCAGTTACATATTGGCCCATCCTGTAGATGTACCAGGCTTTCACAAGTACTCGAGAAAAATGAAAGCGGATTTTCTGCCAAGGACAGTTCAAAATGATTTTGAACTTTCGTTTACAGAAAAATTTCGTACGTAATGCACTCGTCTATGCAAAATGCCATGTCTCAAAATAGAATCACACGAAAAATCTTCTACGCAAAAAAGTATTCAAATCCATGTATACCTATTGTCACTTCAATGAGCGAGGGGAAAAATGCAGATCTATCGAGGTACATTAATCTCCGTTAGCACAATGCCGAGTCTGTGAAATATTTTGAGGGAGGCAAACCCTACAAAACCTCCCATTACACTTCAGTTATATCAACTAAGCGGTAGCCGCTGCAACTGTCGAAAACTTAGTGTGTGTTTACTCATAAACTTGAATTTACCAATAAACTCATGCAGGACAAAGTTGAGGTGTACAAATAGAAACTGGTTAGAAGTTCCTGGAATATTTAGGAGTTAGAATGCTTGCAGCCTTGTGTGAAACTGGCGTTATATTATTTTAGCATGGAAGTTAGAGAAAGAATTGTTTCTGGTAGGTGAAATACTAATGTGTAATTCACTGCCAAAGGTAATTATACACTATACAAAAATTACTATATCCCTCAAAAAATATATAAATGACTATAAAACTTTGCTAAAATGTAAATTACATCAAATAATATAAAAAATATAATACCTGATTTTCAGACATGTTCGCTCTGCTCTTAAATAGCCCTTGGAAAATTTAATTTAGGCCTCAATAATAATAGTTAATAACTTAGCCCAACCTTTTCCCTCTAAGATACTCTGCTATCACTCTGTTGTGCTGGCAACTCAATCAACCTCCAGCCTTAATGTGCAAGGGCTCTGAACTTCCTTCTATCACTCACTTGATAACGTTAATTTAACAGTTTCCCTTCCCTAGCCTGTCTATCATATACAGCTTGTGCCCGGAAGAAAAAAGTCAATAAACCCAACTGCCATTGTAACTGGTAATCTGCCAATATAATGTGAAACGTTGAAGCCATCTATTATAGTATCACAGTGTTCCAAGATATTCACTTTTCATGTACCCGCATTTTTGTTGTCGTTGAAATGATGGTGATGGATTTTTGATTTTCGAATGATATAGTTTGCTGGTGGAAAGGTTCGTGTGCAGCACCTTTTGAAGATATTGCAGTATAAAGCTTGTCAAATGTGATTGAAATAGAATGGATACTAAGGGTACGCGGTAACTAATATGCAAATAGTCAGAGAGAGTAACAGACGGAAATATAGTAAATATTCTTTATTATCTTCTTCAATGGTACAGTATGCAAAAACCAAAAGCTTGCCAAGTTTGACCTAACAAACGTCGGTAAAAATTGCTATAACATAAACTGATTTCAAGTACTCTTCGACATCTTGTAGGGTAAGGTTCTTGCTTCAATTTAGGTATTTGGCAACCTCAAAAGTATTGACTTCAAACCGAATTTGTAATCATTAAAGACAAGAATTTGTAGAGTTTTTCAGACATGGCTCACAATTCGAAACCGGACAGGCACGACCAAAATGCTTTCTTTGACTTTTGCATCTGATAAGTTTATCCCATAGCTACTTGAAACAGGGACCGCCTTTAGTGCCTCCATAATACATAATTTAATGTGAAGCATTTTTGTCTGCATCTTCTATCACATTTTCAGTTCCAACAGATAGTGATTCTCTTTTTGGCCAAACTTTTTTGATCCAATATTCGTATGCTATGCTGTACCATATCGATAGAGGGTGTCCCATTTTAACCTCCCCATCTGAATATTTCAAAAACAATGCATCCTAGAAAAAAAGCTTTAAATAAAAGTTGTAGGATTGCAAGAGACTTTGACCATTTCGTTGACTAAAGCCTTCAAGGTCATCTTAAGATCATGCGAATATTTTTTACACCAGAACTAGGAAAAAAATGTGCGTCCGAATATGACCTTGACTATGATCATAAATATGACATTCTATGCCACTTCAAGGTCAGATCGTGTCTTTTGCTGCACAGATGTGAGCTGTGTGGGAGTCACAAGAAGATGACCTTGACAATGACCTTGACAATTACCTTGACCCTCACGGACAAGGTCATATCAAAATTTCAATCGTTTAAATAATGCAGATCCGGGGTTTTCCAAAAAATGGCATTTTAAGATTGACACGATCTTGACTTTGATGTCAAGTTTCACATAGAGGTATATTTCCTGCTTCTTCAAGTTCCAGGATGAAAATGGGAGATTGCCTTTGGAAAATTTGATTTGTTCTTGAAAGTCATGTCAAGTTATTAGTCAAGTTCACCTTTTTGTGGTCCACGTACGCCTCACATCTGTGCTGTCGAACAGTTTTGCTAGTGGAAATTGTTTTCAATGACTTTTGACTTGAAATGGCCTTGAAGGTCATGATCACGGCCATGATCAAGGTCATATTCGGACGTAGAATCTCTCTCTCTTTCCAATTCCGATGTAAAAAAGGGACGATCCATCGGAAAATATTTGCTTGACCATGAAATGACCTTTAAAGTCGTGGTGAAGGTGATGGCCAAGGTCGCCACCATTTTGCCCCCTCGAAACACTACAACTTTTGGGTGGAACTTTTTTCTATGATGCGCAGTTTCCGAAATAGGAATTCAGGTGGGGATATTAAGATGGGTCACCCTGTATAGGATTTCGCTCCTTTTTGGGCGGCTCAGGTTGTTTGCGTTGTTTTTATGGGAATCAGATTTACACTGATATGCGACGATACTAAGAAAAATGAAAATGGTGACTTTCTCAGAAATATTTTTAATATCTTCTTATACCATGGCAGATAATACCTATAGTTTTTTAAAGGGAAACCCATTGCAAGCCTGTAATTACACATTAATATTACATCAAAGACATTGCGGTGCCGTCGAAGTTCTACACCAATTGCGTTTCTAAGCTATTCGCCTTTCTGAATCGCTTGTTTCAGTAAACTATATTACGGCATGCATTGTGCGAGCATATACGTTTCCATCGGAAGGCTCATAGCTAACAGCTAATAGCTAATTTAGCGCTTCTGCTACTTGTAGGAGCGCAAACGTAAATGCCGATATCGATTCCTAGACGTTATTCCAGTTTCATCATAATGAGCAGCTTAGGTCAACAGGTTAAGTGAAGTAACGCTAAGATAAAGAACGGGTAGGCTGTGGATAGTTCAAATGTTATATTACGGAGTTCCATTATCTGTGGGCAGTGGCGTATACAGGGTGTTCGGAAGGATGATACCATCCTTTTAAAGGTTTCAGCCACATACAGACTGTAGCAATATCTGATGAATGACACATCTAAATTAAAAAAAAATGGTAGGTTTAGGTTCGAAACCACGACGGATCCGTTGATGACATCAGCGATGCTGCCAAATCTACAGTTTTTCAGAAACTAACATCAACTTTAGTTTTGCTTATGGAACGCTATACATGTTATTCGATACTTGTATTCTGCGAGAAATTCTGAATACTTTTTATAAACATACTTTGACGTAGACCTCTTAGTAATATTATCGGTCAAGCATTAATATTTAAAGAACGACAGGAAATTAATTTTGATACCGGGCATTGCTTAGGTGGAAAGAATACCTTTTATGGATTAAATATTATTGTTTCACCGCGAATATTTCGAAAACTATGAGGTTAACGACAAAGCATGTTTAGTAAAAAGTATTCACAATTTCTCGCAAAATACAAGTATCGAGAAAACAAGAGCTGCTGTCAGATTCTGAAAAACTGTAGATTTGGCAACAACGCGGATATCATCAACGGATCCGCGGTGGTTTGGAACCTGAACTTATCAATTTTTAAAATGATTTGATAAGTCATTCTTCGGATATTCGATGCGTTCCAAACTTTTGTTACAGTCTGTAAACCGCATTATTGTGGGTCCTAGAAAAAAACGAAGATCACTCTACAAATAGTTTTCAACTTACCGAAATATGGCGTAGACGTTATAAAAAATGAAGTTAGTTTACTGAATAGCCGATTTTTCAGTGCTTTGTGGCTTTTCGAACGAATTTATAGAAAATTTTGCAACAGTGTCATTTAAAATCAATGAAAAAACTTGCTTCATTTCTGCTCCTTCTTATGGTGTGTCCTAAAAAGCGATATAACCATGATTTTCCTCAATAACCCAAAATATTAGATCAGGCACAATGCAATTCAATTCACTCGATCTTATTGTAACAAATACAGGGTGTTTTCAAAGTTGAGTAACTTATTTTAACAGCTTGTATAACTCATCAAAAAAAGTTGATACACCAAAAAATACCTATATGAAAGTTGCATAATAAGAGAGTTCACATTAACAAAAAACTGCTCAAAATTATCCCCATTCGTTCGATTAATGCAAGATCTTGCTCCGTGAATCAACGACTCTTTCCAATTTTCGGAAATAAAATCCTGGTGACAAGGAATTAAATCACAAGCATTTTCAGTGAGCTGTTGAAGTTTTTCCCGAGTACTTACTGCTCCATCATGATACACCAAGTCTTTCAAATAGCCGCACAGAAAAAATGGCAAGGTGTTAAATCCGGGGTCGATTGCGCCCGATCCATCAATTCGGAAACTCATTATTTACATGTTCATGAACGACTTATCTAAAATGTGGTGAAGCCCGATCATGTAGGAACCACACATTCTGTCTCACATTTAGGGGAACATTTTGTAATAATTGTGGCAGATTGTATCGAACAGAAGCTAAATAAATTTCACCGGTCAGTCGAGGTGGAAAGTACGGTCCAATAAGCATGCCACTTACCACACCAACCCAAACATTTAATGAAAATCAATCTTGAAAATGGGTTCTTTATATAGCATGTTGGACAGTAGAAAATGTTGTTGGGAAAATGTGCACTCCATTCCGTGTAAATGTGGCCTCGTCTATACATAAAATTAATTTCGTAAAATCTACATTTCAGGTTGTAACGCTTGTACCCGTTGATAATGATAAGGATAATACTGTTCGTCACGTATTGTCTTACACACTTCACTATGAGAAACTTCAACTTGAGTTGCTATGGTTCTAGTACTCATTGTTCCATTTCTAAAATGTGCTTCTCAATCTGTAACATTTCAGATTGAGCAGGTCTTTCAGCGTGACCTCCTCGTTGGTCTTTTAAATATCCTCTGTCACGAACCCAATGACCAAAATAACAATCTGCATGCTGCGGCTGCATTTTGTTGGAACTCTGCGTATGTTAGGATTATGTCCACTGGTTCATTGCTTTCCTAATCAGGGACCATTTTTTCGCACAGAATAATCGGACAAATGAAAGTATACGCGCTATTAAAAGGCTGATACAACTGATCGACACCACTGTCTCCATAACAATAACGTCCGACTCATCCCAGATGCCGTATAAGACTTGTAACCCAGTATTGCTATAAACTATACGATAACTATTAGAGCATCGGGGTTGCTCCATACCCTCCTCATATGAATTCCCTGATGTATTGTACATATAACACCAAAGCGTACATACTACCAGAAGTGAAGCCACTTGCCGAAGAACGTTCCATGTCGCTAGCGGTCGGAGATTTAATGTATTTCCAACCGCCACACAACC